ATTTGTACAATTTATGGCAAACAAAACAATAAAAAATAAACAATAGACCTTGACAAGTTCCTGATCAATTAATTTTGAATAAGTGCTTACAGTTCTTTGCCATAGAAGAGTGTAATTGGGTCAAAAATCTATTGACCTTTTAAAACAAACAAGTTTTATGTAAAAAACTCAATATAATTATGAAAAAACAAATGTTTACTATTTATTGTATTGTATGGAAATATTGGATGAAGGAGAAGCGGTACAGCGGTACAATCGACAAACAAAAGACATAGAAAAAAATAAAACAGTACTCTGACACTTGATTTAAACTTCCCAAACAGAACTTTCTTACCACTTAAAGTTATAACGGAGAAAACACAGCTCCCTGTGGAATCCATCTTTGTTTAGCTCCTATTTTTTTAAAATATAACTGAAGTACAGGCGGTCAATATCGATGTTGGAGTAATTTTGAAGAAGCTGTTACGATAAATTTTTAAAGACATCGAATCGGTGATACAATTATTTCACTGGTAAAATTCAATGAAACTGTCACAAACCTGTCAAACTAGAACAGAAACAAAGAGATTTGGGGCTTAAAGGTTTTTTAGAGATTAAAAAAGGGCGCAAACGAAAACAGTTGCAGTCTACTTATGATATATATTTACTCTTAAAAGGGTGTAATGTGCACGTGCCAAACATTATCCAAACTTTTGACAAAGTAAGCAGCAAGGTTCGTACAGTGAAATCCCGCCTTACGACCCCTACGTTCTACGACCACCACTTTTATTACCACTATATTCCTTAGAACCAAACGCAAAAACAGTGAGTCAGTTTATTATTTTGAAGACTCCGTTAATATGGCACCTCGTTTTACTACCAGGATCCAACCCAACGGTGGTAGCAGTAACTGGTTTCCATGCACTGCGCTACGAATTTAGGAGAAAGTTGTCTTAAGCTTGAGTCCTCCTCTGTTGAAGTTTCGTTCATGTTGATGTACAGCAAAGTTAATTTTTCTACGTAGTGTCACCACTCTTGCTGCTTTTTTTGTAATTTGTGTAGAATGACCCCAAACTTAAGCAGTAATGTAAAAAAGCACAAATTTCATAAATGATCGAATCCCACTAGCTCTTGCATGATTAGGCTGCCTCGAGTCTAGGTGTCCCAGCGTCCGCAAGAAAGTATCAATGGTGATCAAGAGCCACAATAGTTCTTGTAAAATTGCAAAAGAACGGAAGAAGAGAGTACTGCATGAATACTGATGTTTAGGAATAGAGTCTGGGAGATCTAATTTTGTCATTGGGGAAGGATTTCGAAGTCCACCTTTTTCGTGTAACCGAAAAATGCGCCAAAATATCCACGTCCACAACTGAGTTTTGAATCGTTCTCCACGATCCATGCTTATTCATCGAAGAAGCACTTCTGAGGGTGCGTTTTAGTTCCCGGGCTAACTTCGTATTTGTCTACGATTAGTGCTTTCGAAAATCTCCGTTTTTTCCGGCCTTCATACAAAGCAATAGACCATCGTTTTCACTTTGGACGCAAGGCCAAACTAATATGTGTTTCAAGAAAAATCGCATTGGTCCCATGATTGGTGAGGGTCGAGTCTTAGGGCGCTGTCCAAAAGTCAGAACTGGCCGGCTGGACCTGTCATTTTGAAAATGAAAAAGGCTTTTTCCAAGAGTCGATGAAAAACGATTTCCTTCGTTCATACTATTTAGGATTTGACTGATATGGCTGGATAGCTTTGATTAAAAGTAAAATTTTCATTACGACGGGAATGTTCTGGCCGATCAGTTCTGACAAATGGAAAGCGCCCCAGTAGGCGTCTCGTTTTGGATCCTTCCCATGACACCTTGCGCGTCTTGATATTCCTCTATATTTGAGCGTCGCTTGAGACCGAGTCTCCCACACCGTTTGATCAAGAAAAGGATACTCTTTGTTGAGGACACAAAAAAAGACCGTGTCGTTTTTTAAATGCAATAAATTAGACTTACGAGTTCACAGTTCCGTCTACGCGTGAGCGGAAGTCGTACCCCACCGGAAGTGAAATTTTACGCTAAGCGTGAACGGTCTTTAAGCCGAATAAGTTCTCCACTAGTTTGCAAACTGAAAAATATCGTCCTTCCAGGTTTACAGACAC